CCCCCCCCATCCCCGCCCCCCGCAGACGCAGTACCGTTTTACGTGTCTTTCACTGGTTGCTGCGTCATTGGTTTTGCCTCAATTAAGGCCACTCTGATATGCAGCCTCGTTAATTCTAGAATTCCAGTTTTATTGAATTCATTAACATGAAAATCGGGGAACGATGGGGGAGGGGAACTAGGGGGAGGAAGGGGCCGAGGGGCGGGAGGAAGGGGTTCTTTGTTGAAGAATTGCCGATGGACTCGGGGGAAAAATGAGTTGGAGGCAGCAGCATTCAGCACGCGTGAAGACGCGCGGGAGGACTCCCAATGTTTTACAAATAGAAACGGTAGAGCCCGCGCGCCTTGTTGAGGTTAGGGTGGGACCACTCATGTCCAATTTTGGATCGGTACGGCGGGGTGCTTTCAAGACTCGACAGTATTAAATTTCAGGCTATTGGTGTTCCTTGGGCGAGAGCCGCTGTCTCGAGACATTACAGCTAGAACATGATTAATATGTTTTTGGATTTTTTTTTTTTCAATGGTATTTGCACACTGAGAATTTCGGGATTTCGATTATTTTGGGAGAGATCGCGGCAGTGGAAGTCGGAACTGGAACTCTTTTCAGGGAGAAGTTTTGGGGATGAGGGGGGGGGGGGGAGAAGTCGCCAGAGGGTGATTGAGGGGTTTATTTAGTTGGAAGATGTTTTTGAAGGGCTTAATGTGAGGTCTCAGTCACTGGAATCGTAATATTTGGTCAGGAGATATTGATGATTTAAGGAGGTTTATTTTATGTTGTCTCGGCGAGGAGATGTTGAGGGGAAATGTGAAATTCAGATTTTTTAGGATGAGGAATTGAAAAGTTTGGTATTAGAATTGAAAAAAAAAAATTAATTTTGAAGGCATTCTTTTTAGATTTTAAATAGAGAGATGATTCCATCAAACTGTGGCATTTGATCAAGAGTTATTGATAATTTGATGAAGTTCATTTTATCTTGTCTTCCCCAGGGGGGAATTCCTTGAAATTTAGCTTTTCAATCTCCAAGAACTCCGGATCGGCGGATCAAAATCAAACACTTTTTGTTAAATTTGAAAGCATTTACTTAAGATTTTATTTCAGACCTGATTCAAGAAGTCCGTTTTACCCCTATTCTCTAAATATTGACTGGAATTTCCCTACAAATTTGGACTGGATGATGTCTTTTCCCTTTTGATACTCGTGAAATAAAATTTCTGAGAGATTGGAGAATTTTCGAAAATGAGTCACTTTTTAATATTTAATAACTCGAGATTGCCGGAGTGAAATCGGTCCATTTTTTTCCCATTTCAAAAAAATTCTTTCAGACTTGAAAATGAGACCTAATTCGAGAGGTTCACTTTACCTCACTTTTCCCTAAGAAATAAAAGTGAAAATTTTCTTGAGAAACGCGAGAGCTTCTCATTCATAAACAAATAAATGAATAACAATCAATAAATGTTCAATTCATAAATGAACACTTTGAGAGAATTAAAAATATTTGAGAAATTGAATTGAGAAAACGAACGAATAGTTAAATAGTTAAATTTACCGGTGTTTTTTCTCATTTCGAACGTATTTTTCGGGCTTCAGAATGAGACCCGATTGTTTGAATCATCTGCCGAAGAGATAGTGACGATTTAAAAAGTTCCATTCAATGATATTGAACCGAATTTTCTTGGGAGAAAGACAAATCCTCTGTTTTATTAGACAAATAACATTGGACTAGATGTTGTCTCGCGCCCCGATAAACGAACCAGGACATGTATATGTATACCCAGTGGGAAAGGGATCGGGGTCGTTACTAAAATATACACGCAGCCACATAGGTGGTATTCTCGAAAGAAATACCGTCAACTAGTGCCCGGTTTGACGTTATGAATTCCGTGGAATGACAGAATCACTGGGGAGATTATATTATCAAGGTGAAGATCTTACAGATTCGACTGCCTTCCACCGTTAATTCCCAAAGCTGACTGAAGTAGCTGATTCATTCTTCGTAGATATCCGAAGACTAACATTTCTAATAACTCGAGATATGAAAGGATCACAGAGATCACGAGAAAAAATTAGAAGCCAAGTGGTCAAACGGTTCAAGACGATTTTGACTACTCATGAGTTTTCAATGAATATCTCGCAATCTAAGACAGATAGCTAAATTTATGTTACGACCTTTTCGGTGGAGCACATTAAGAGCTTCAAAATAGATATATACGAAAATTTCGCTATCTCCCTTAGATTTTGAGATATTCTTCGAAAACTCAGCTAAGAGCTAAGTCGACTTAAACCGTCTAACCACTTCGCTACTGAAATAGTGTATTGCGGTACAAGTGCGGCGGGTTTTTCATAAATGTAAAGTTGGCGGCCCGAGGCGAAGCCGAGGGCTGAGCAACTCACGAGCTGAAAAATCCCCTTCGCACATGTGTCGACCTATTTTATGTTACACGGCGATAAAAGTGTTATCTGACTCGTGTGATAAAATTCAATTTAGATTCCATTCAGAGCCAGATAATGAAAGTATTATCTGACTCATGTGATAAAATCCCATTCGTTAAATAAGACTTTTATCGCCTGATGACGTAATGAACTAATTTTTTTCAACACTTGTGCGTAAAGTGACATTTTTGTCATTCCGGCCGTGAGGCAGCGCTTCACGGACGCTCCGCGTTCATGAATCTCTGCCTATGGCTGTCATGACAAAAAATACTGTTCGTCACACGGTCAAAAAATACTTCTAAAAAAGTTTTTTTCGGCCTAGTGACGAAATATAGCATTTACGCCCGCTCCGCGTGCGCAAAATTCCACTTTTCACACATTGTGATGAAAAATAGGGTTCGACACTAGTGGTAAAAGTGTTCTTTGACCCTTGGGAGGGTAACAGTCGCCTTCGACGAGCGCTACACACCTCCCACAGATCAAAAAACACTTTCACGTATGTCAAACGAAATATACTAATTTAATAATCACGGGACAAACGATTTAAAAAAAAATCGACAATTCTAAGGATTAATATATTGATGTATGAGTGAATGAATTCTAATTAACACCAATGGATGGAACTCAGCTATACCTACATTAAAAATAATAATTAAGTTCCATCAATAGATTAACGCTCAATTAACGATAATACTTTCATCACCTGATGACATAATGTCCTACTTTGTCAGTGATGTTACGCTCAATGAGTGCCGAATTGTCTTTTTTTCTTTACAAGTAACCGAAATGATTTTTCGTTTACGAATAAATGAAAAAGTGATTTTTCGGAACATGTCACTGATTTTTAGGCCATCAGTGATTTTTATCAATAAAATTTGGTGATAGATTCAGAAAAATTAAATATGAATCTCAGAAAATCAGTGATACTCCCCTGAAAATCACTAGAAATTGGTAACAAAATCATTAAATTCAAGAATTTTACACGAGTTGAATTTCACAATCGCGAATTCCTAAAATTAGCGATGGATTTTATTCCTCTGTGATGGTAAAACTGAATCATGAATGATTTTTTAATAGACATTCACAGCATGGTGCAACTCGCACCTGCGGAAAGCAGGAACTGCCATAGAATCAATCGAGGACGACTTCAGGAATGGTCTGAAGCTTATGCTTCTGCTGGAGGTGATATCCGGTGAAACCCTGCCAAGGCCAGATCGTGGCAAGATGCGTTTTCACAAAATTGCGAATGTAAATAAAGCACTGGATTATATCGCCAGCAAGGGAGTCAAATTGGTCTCCATTGGAGCAGAAGGTGAATAAAAATCAGCAATAATCTCTCCCAAATTAAACATGTTTAATGAAACATTGCAGTTCTTGCCAGAGAAATGGCGCATTTGAATCAAATAAAACCCTTTATCTGAAGTTTTTTTTCTATTCATTCGTAAGATAATGTTCTAATTATTTGAATAAAAGCTTGATCACCAGCTATTTGCATGAATTCATTTATGGGACTCAAATAAAATTTATGTGCATTTCGGCTTCGAAATTCTATCATTTTTTTGCAGATTCTTTTATCTTTATAAAAAAATATTTAAGAATTTTTATTCTTCCTAAGTGACTCATTCCCCTGAGATTTTTCCTATAGAAATTCTTTCACAAATTTTTTCAAATTTTCATATCTTCAAAAAATTAATATCAAAGTAAAATTAGTCCCTCATTTTCTCTCATAAATTCCATCATGGAGTGTAACTGAAACGTTTCAGAAATCGTCGATGGTAATTTAAAAATGACCCTGGGAATGATCTGGACGATCATCCTCCGTTTCGCCATCCAGGACATTTCCGTCGAGGAAATGACTGCCAAAGAGGGTCTGCTGCTGTGGTGTCAGCGTAAAACGGCACCCTACAAGAACGTCAACGTCCAAAACTTCCACTTGTCCTTCAAGGATGGTTTGGCATTCTGCGCTCTCATTCATCGTCACCGTCCTGATCTCATCGATTACAATAAACTCAGCAAGGATAATCCACTGGAGAATCTCAATACCGCTTTTGATGTCGCCGAGAAGTATCTTGACATCCCACGGATGTTGGACCCCGACGGTATTATAATCATTATCTTCTTCATCGTCATTCATTCACTTTTCAGTAATTGTGTGAGGATGTCCAAGTATCTTTCACAATTTCCAGATTTTTCATCCTCAAATTACATTTTGGCAAAAAAAATTCTTTCTATTCTACATTTCGGCTTCATAAAAAAATAGGGAGGATTGTTGAACCTTTTTGAAAATTCACTCTTTCAGCCGTGACGTCGATTTCTAGTAAAATTTTGAAGAAAAACCAATTTAATATAGTGAACGGTTCAAGTCGATTTTGACTACTAGTCGGTTTTCAATGAATATCTCGAAAACTAAGGGAGATAGGAAAAATTTTGTTACGACCTTTTTTGTAGCCTTCAATTCGCTCTATAAAAAAGGTTCTGACAAAAATTTCGTTATCTCCCGTCGATTTGGAGATATTCCTCGAAAACTGAGCCAAGGGCCAAGTTGACTTCAACCGTTTTATCGTTCCCTATTGAATAAGATGAAAAGAAATTATTTTTAAAGTAAAAATTTTTTGTTTATGAATCATTGATAAACAATGTTCGTAATCTTGGGAAATTAATTTAGACTTTTTAATATTTTTTCCTCAATTCTCAAAATCAAGAATCGAATGAAGCTTAAATTGAAGCTTTAATATTTAATTGCATTGAAGATAATGACAAAAAAAAGTCCAAGTACTTGGATGTCCTCAAGAGGGAGATAAATCCTAAATGAAAACCGTTGAAACCCCGATTTCTCTGATTTTAACCTAAAAACTTCAATAGATTTGATCAACACGCCCAAACCGGACGAAAGAGCCATCATGACTTACGTCTCGTGCTACTACCATGCTTTCCAGGGTGCCCAGCAGGTCAGCGAGTCGAATCGTGTGCAATAAACCGACTCTAACTGTTTTCAGTGTGCAATCGCCTGTCTAACTGCCCCCCCAATCATCAATAATCAAGTTTATTTAATCAAGTTAACCCAAGAATTATCCCCACAGAGATTATCTAACAAGGCATGGTGTTAAAGTTTGCCGACTGATTTTTTTGTAGACATGAGCAACACAGCTAAACCCGATGAACGAGCTGTTATGACCTACGTATCATCGTACTACCACTGTTTCAGTGGTGCACAAAAGGTGTGTGTTCAGTGAGTGAGCTTTTAACTAACTCGTTTTGTTGAACGGATGGATTCGAGTGAGAAAAGTCCAAAGAAACAGCTTCTGAAGTCATGAGAACGATACAAGATTCCGAATTTTTTGATTTTTTTTTTTGAAAATATCTGCGAAACTACTAGGTTTAGAGCAAAAGTAAAGAAAGATAACTATCACAAGACAATTTTGTTTGTTTGATGTTTTGCTCTAGAGAATAAATGAATTCTTTCATCTCCTCTGACAACAATTTCTATAGTGGTACCATAAAAATGAGACAAGATCAGGAATTTTTTCCTCCTTCTTTTGCAAATCTGTTTGAAACTACTAGCTTTAGAACAAAGAAGAAAAACAATTATCAAAAGCCAATTTTAGTCAATTGTCCTCTAATTTTTTCCTGAACCTAGTACTTTAAAAAATGTTTACATTGACGAATGAATTCTTTCATCGACTGCTAACACTTCATTACTAAATTAATGATAAACCAATTAACGTAATGACTGGAATAACTAATAGTTCATGATTTTAGGCTGAGACAGCAGCCAACAGAATCTGCAAGGTTCTCAAGGTGAACCAGGAGAACGAGCGTCTCATGGAAGAGTACGAGCGTCTGGCTTCCGACCTCCTCGAGTGGATCCGACGAACAATGCCCTGGTTGGCAAGCAGACAAACTGACAATTCCCTCGCCGGATGTCAGAAAAAGCTCGAGGAATACCGTACTTATCGTCGCAAGCACAAACCCCCACGTGTTGAGCAAAAAGCCAAGTTGGAGACCAACTTCAACACTCTCCAGACGAAACTGCGACTGAGCAACAGGCCCGCTTACATGCCCACCGAGGGCAAGATGGTGTCTGACATCAACAAAGCGTGGAAAGGCCTTGAACTCGCGGAGAAGGCGTTTGAGGAGTGGCTGCTGTCTGAGATGATGAGACTCGAGCGTCTCGAGCACTTGGCCCAGAAGTTCAAGCACAAGGCCGACGCCCACGAGGACTGGACAGCTGGAAAGGAGGAGATGCTCACTTCTCAGCACTTCAGGCAGTGCAAGCTCAATGAGCTGAAGGCACTGAAGAAGAAACACGAGGCCTTCGAGTCGGATCTTGCTGCTCATCAGGATAGAGTTGAACAGATTGCTGCTATTGCTCAAGAACTCAAGTAAGAATTCATGATTTACTTCAAACAATTATTCCAAGATGATGGTTACCAAGCCTTTATCATTTTTTTATTTCTTCTTACAAATGTTCACAACATTCGTCGCAAAGTCAATTCCAACACGTCAATGCGATTCAATCAATCGCAAAACGAACTCAAGATTCGTTTCATTAATGGGAATATAACTTCGAAGGGAATGAAGATGACTAAATTTCTTGTAATCTTTTCTCTCTGCTCAGAAGACAAGTTTTGTAAATGTTAGATTTTAGAAGAATTATTCACACGTTGATGATTACCAAGTCTCAAACATTTTGTTCTAGTTCTCCTTTTGTTATTTTTCATTTTCCCAATATGTCTTAAATGAGAAGGTTTGTCGAGATTGATCAAGACTTCTTCCTTACAGAATCTCATCATCAAAACTATCTCTCCCTATTCTTCCTCCAACCCACTAGCTTCAGAAATACCCCTAAAAGTAAACTTAACATCTCAATTAACAAACTTTACATCTCTTTGGAATGTCCAGCACTCTTGAATACCACGATAGTGCATCCGTAAATTCTCGCTGCCAGCGTATCTGCGATCAGTGGGATCGTTTGGGTACACTGACGCAACGCCGACGTCAAGCACTAGACGAGGCCGAGCGTATTCTCGAGAAAATTGACGTCCTCCATCTGGAATTCGCGAAACGCGCTGCAGTAAGTTACACAAAAAACAAAACCCTACGAAAACAATGAAGCTGAAACTAGCGGAAGGTTTGATTTGTTTCAAAAATAAGTCAAGACTCTGATGTTGAGTGTACTGAGGAAGACTTTTATGCCAAAGGGTGGGAGCATTGTTTTCCTCTTTGATTTTATTGCACAACTGCAGCCTTTCTTCAGTAAATGGAGGATACTGCCATAGTACATGATTCAAGTCCTCCGCAGGACATCCACATTAACATTCAGGGGACGGAACAACATTAATCCTGGCAAGAGAGTTTGCCAGGCTATAATGATCAACCTTTGTACGATTAAGGGGTAACAGAAAATATTCGAACAAATTTCCTGCCCAAATTTATTAACTTTTTTTTTATCCCAAAGCACATCGATCTTCATCATCACCTCCTGGAGATTAATGTGCTTCGATTAGTAAAAATATCGATAAGTTTCGACAGGAAATTTGTCCAAAAATTTGGACAATTAGCGGCATTTGGTACCCCTTAACCCGCTTAATTATCTTCTTTGAAGGTTCTCTTTCTAGAACCCTAGTCCTCAACATGTTTTAATAGTATCTTTGGAAGTGGTTTCACCCCTGAGCCCCCAAAGCCTACCTTCCTTCAGTTTCAGCTTCATACAAAAGCAACCCTCCCTAACTCCCCATTCTCTGTAACAGCCATTCAACAACTGGCTGGACGGTACGAGGGAGGACCTAGTTGACATGTTCATCGTCCACACAATGGAGGAGATTCAGGGTCTGATGGACGCGCACGCAGCCTTCAAGGCAACCCTCGGAGAAGCCGACAAAGAGTACAACTCGATCGTAGGTCTCGTCCGAGAGGTAGAGTCCATCGTCAAACAGTTCCAGATCCCCGGAGGTCTTGAGAATCCCTACACCACTCTGACAGCCCTCGACCTGACCAAGAAATGGAGCGACGTCCGACAGTTGGTGCCTCAGCGAGACGGAACACTGCAGGCAGAGCTCAGAAAACAGCAGAACAACGAGCTCCTGCGAAGGCAATTCGCCGAGAAAGCTAATGCCGTTGGTCCCTGGATCGAGCGCCAATTGGACGCTGTCACAGCCATCGGTCTGGGTCTCCAGGGAACCCTCGAGGACCAACTACACCGTCTCAAAGAATACGAACAGGCTGTCTACCAGTACAAGGTCCACTTGGAAGAACTCGAGAAGATTCACCAGGCCGTCCAAGAAGGAATGATCTTCGAGAATCGCTACACCCAGTACACCATGGAGACCCTTCGTGTCGGTTGGGAGCAGCTGCTCACTTCGATAAACCGAAACATCAACGAAGTTGAGAACCAGATTCTCACTCGTGACTCCAAAGGAATCACCCAGGAGCAGCTCAACGAGTTCCGCAGCAGCTTCAATCACTTCGACAAGAACAGAACAGGCAGACTTGCTCCGGACGAGTTCAAGTCGTGTCTAGTGTCCCTCGGCTACTCTATTGGCAAAGACAGACAAGGGGACATCGACTTCCAGCGAATTCTCGCTATCGTCGATCCCAACAGCTCTGGCTACGTCCAATTCGACGCCTTCCTCGACTTCATGACTCGTGAATCCACTGACACAGACACGGCTGAACAAGTTATCGACAGTTTCCGCATTCTTGCTGGTGATAAACCGTACATTCTAGCTGATGAATTGAGACGAGAACTGCCACCCGATCAGGCTGAATACTGCATTCAGAGAATGCCACCTTACAAGGGACCCAATTCACAACCTGGTGCTCTCGATTATCGTTCTTTCTCAACTGCTCTTTATGGCGAATCTGATCTCTAAGGGTTTTAACGGGGGAATGGGCTTCTCTTAGATGTGACTGGGGACGTGACGACTAAAGACGTTGGGTGAATCATTCGGTGGACGAACTGTTTTCCTTTGAAATTGACACAACATTCTTCGAACACTGGACGATTCACCTTGACTGACGATACGACAGATTTTAATGAATGGCTTCCAGATTGAAATATTCAACAAAAACATTAACGAAACATATACGTACGAGTCTTAGTCAATATAGCGAGTGCTATTGGTACTGGAGTACTGAATTTGCCATATCTATCAGCCAAATATATATATTTTTTCAAAAATTGGCAGTTAACTGATCAATCCTCGGGTTTTCCTGAGATTTCAAATTATTTCCAAGGTATTTCGTACTTTAATATTCATCATGAATCGAGTCTTTGTGACTGTAACCGAATAATTGTGGAATCAAAATTGAATCGAGTGGATTATTGGGTGAAATATCACGAGAAAACCCCATGCTCGAGTGAAATAATGCCTATTTTTTTACGACCTAATTAAACAAAAAATGAACGTACGGCTGTTAGAAACCTAAAACAAACGATTAGATAAGCCGTGCAACACAAATGTATTTTGTAAAACTTATATATCGAAAGCAATCTGACGATGACGCGTCGCAATGCGTCAGTGAGTGAAATTTACAAAATGATAAAAGAAGAGATAAGCAAAACGAGAGAGGGAAGAATCAATTTTATTTATTTATTTGATTTATTTATTTATCGTGGGGACATGATAACGACAGCCCTCGATTATCAGTCGTCACGAGGAAGAAACATTTTTTTTCTCAAGGTATTTATTTTTATAAATATTTTTGATGCGATCGGCTTTTGATTTTTACCAGAGCCGAAAACTGTAATAACGAAAAAGAAAAAAAAAACAAATCATTGGAGGGGAAATAGATTATTTCAACAATTGTACATCTGTTGCTGCCTGTGAGCGGTGAAAATAGAGGGAGATTGCTGATGCTTTCGGAGGAATCGATAATCACTGGGTCACGTATCATTTTTAGTTTGAGACAATTCTCAAAACGAGTATAACAGTATATTTTTGTTTGGCTTGAGGCTTCAACGCTTTGTACTATCATTTCTTCATTTCGAATTAATCATTATCCGATGTCACACGATCATTACACCATTCAGTCCTATCTCTTTTCCGATAAATTTCCAACAGTTTAGTTGAATTGAACGGTTAACAGGGGGAGAAGAGAATGAAAATGTGCTCACGAGTCACCCACACTTCACATACCGCCACGCACAATTGCATTACTGTCATTTTCCTTATTTTACATTATACTTTTATTGTAATTATATTTAAAGAAACACGAAATATATGATTATATATATTAATTAATTTAAAGAGTATACCGGAAGTCAGATTTATGTCGATAATGGCGAATCAATTAATTTCATTAAACTTCAGGAGTGGAGTGTAAATCAGCGTTGAATACTGAATTTATGAGTTTAAAATGTACTTTTAAAAAAAAGTAAAAGATGAGAGAAATGTCGAAATAAAGGAGAGAAAAACAGAGGGTTTTGAGAAATGTGAGTGTTATTTTCAACCGATCATTGGGGAACTGATTTTTTTTATCGTTTGGAAATTGAGAGAAGTATTGGGAGACCTTTTTTTGGAGAATTCTTTTTACGGGAGAACCACTGGTGACAGATATTTCCGAAAGTAAAATTCGTGGCTTGAATGATTTGTGGGATTCCTTTTTTAACTGCTCACCTCTGAGGAGAATAGCCCGATCTTGGAATCACTTGGAGTGTTTCATTCTAAACGAAGTGATTAATTAAGTGGAGTAATGGATTTTGTCTTCTTTGGGATAGACAGAATCATTATTGAATGATATCCATCGAGATGTTTCAGAAGGAAAATACAATGAGAGAAAGACAGATGAATCGAGAGAAAAAATGGTGTGAGAAAAGGAAGTGTTATGTTTATCCAATCTCAAACGAGTTGTTTTTTCGTCTGAAAATATCTTTTCAGGGCGCAGTTTGAGAGAGAAATATCAGAAGAACTAAAGTATCATTTTCGTGTATACGTTTGAAAAAAAATTGACATTCCATAGACAGTCTACTAGTAATTTTCAAGATAGTGACATTGAATTTGGGTGACAATGGTACCACTTGCATGTTTTGAATTTTAGAATCGTCCTCATGTCGATAGTTATTCATTTTTGGAAACCAAAAAACTTCAATCACTCGATTACTATATTGTACAGTACCTGAAGTTTTTGTCTTTTCAAAAATTAATAACTATGAACACCAGGATTATTATAAAATTCAACGCATGCAAACCCAGAAAACAATTTTTGCCAGAGCCATCTAAAATTTAACAGGACACCGGCAATTTGACGACAAATTGTCGACATACTGTTTGCTGGGAAGTTATCTTTTGTAAGTACCAATTGAAATGAGAATTCCTCAAGTTACGCGTTATTTTCTTTTCATTCCTCTTCATTTCTCTCAATTCTATTGGTTGTAGGTTTGTGAATGTATCCCGATTACGTTTTCAGATAGTCTAGATCGAGGCAAAATAAGACTGGTTAATAGCCAGTATTTCAGAATCTTTGCAACAACTATTCTCGAGTTATTGACACAGTTCTGGACACACGCACACATCCATAACTACAAACAGGCTCTTTTTACAAACATAATTTTTTCATGTTTTATGACGTTTCCAGGTATCTCCATAAAATAAAAAAATTTAAAAAAATTCCGATGACAAAGCTTTCATTGGCAAGCAAAAATCTTCCGAAGAGAAACCCCGAGAAATACAAAACGAACGCCTCAAAAATATCAAATCAGTAGCGAAGTGGTAAAACGGTCCAAGTCAATTTTGACTATTGACCAATTTTCAATGAATATCTCGGAATCCAAGGGAGATAGTCAAATTTTCATTATAACCTTTTTTGTAGAGCCGATTGAGAGCTACAACAAAGGTAGTAACAAAAATTTCGCTACCTCCCTTAGATTCGGAAATATTCCTCAAAAACTCAACTGGTAGCTAAGTCGACTTGAACCGTTTTACCACTTCGCCACTGAAACGTTCTCCGATCTCAATCCTCCAGTGTCTTAAAATGGTCACGAGCGACTTCTCCATCTCCCGCGTCCCTCCAATGTCGTAAAATAGGAATGTAAAACGCACCGATACGAAGGACAAGAGTCATGTGTCGTTCGTAAACCGCTGCAGTTTTTCCCGAGCGCCCGATGCATCCTCCGCGCGCCCAGTCTCAAATTCATACCGTGAGTCACAAGAGAAAAAAAAACGACAATCAACAACTCGTCGCGGAGAAAAAAAACGACAATCAACAACTTGCCGGGAGTCAGTCATTGGCCGCCGTAAAAATATTGCCCGAGGTCGTTGGAATCGGGGCGGAAATTTCGCGACTCCATTGTATCACCCGATTTATTAAACTCCCCCCCCTATCCTCTTGTCCGACAAGATTTGCAGAGTGACACAGCGACCATCGCCAATCGTCCGTACACCACTGATAAAAATTGCAAAACCCGTGCAAAATTTTCATTTGCGCAGTTGGGTGCAAGCCTGTCAGGAGTGGATCGTGCGCTCTCCGGCTCTCTGTGTACATGTACCCCGGTTGTATATTTCTCCGAATCCTGCGTGATTAGTGTTAAAATCCTCAGTAATAATTCCAACCTCGTAAAAATGTCGCGAATACCTTGAGAACACGAAGATACGAGTCACTAAATCACTCGCAAAGTGCCCGTCGGACATTAACGTGCGTAAAAACAGACGAGTAACTGTCAAATAAACGTCACCGACAGTTCTCCAATAATGGAGTGATGCAATATTATCAAAACAATTGGAAATAAACAGCTGAGAGTACCAGCAACAACCGATAAAATCCCCCCATTCGATGATTGAATGAGTTTCATTCTCGAAGATAACCTCGAAAGAGTTCACCTCCAGGTGCTAACAACCCCATTATTGACATTATAATCGATAACATGAGCGCTCTGGACCGTTACGCAGGTGATAATTTGTGGAGAGGCAAAGCGGATTCCAACAGTCCAGCTATAATGCAGAGTCTTGATTCTCTTTCGAGTTTAAACAGGGACATTTATCATTCGCCGAATGGTCCACCGTCCGGTGTGTCACTCCATGGAATTCCCTCTCTGCACGACGCCGATGATCCCAAAGTGCCGAATAACAATTACAAGAGCTTTCTGTTGATCGATGGAAAGGAGTACCTCAAGGTCTCCAGTGCTGAGCAATTTATTCAGCATCTGGGGTGTGAAAAGGAGGCGAAGGTCAAGGTTGTCTCGATATTCGGGAATACTGGGGATGGGAAGAGTTACACGATGAACAAGACCTTCTTCGGGGGACAGGAGGTCTTCCAGACGTCCAATGAACAGAACTCGTGCACACTCGGGGTGTGGGCTGCTTTCGATCGTAAACTCGGAATCATTTGTTTGGATACCGAGGGCCTCTTGGGGATCACTGTACATGAGAATGAACGCACAAGACTGTTGTTGAAGGTTCTGGCTGTTTCGGATATCGTTATTTATCGGACTAGGTCGGAGAGACTGCACAGGGATCTGTTTACGTTCTTGGGGGCTGCGTCGAGGGCTTATGGACATCACTTTCATAATGCTCTGCTGGCACTCGGGAGGAGGGAGGGGGTGCCCAATAGCTCCAGCGCTCTGGGGCCCAGCATCATCATCTTTCATGAGACGAGACACACGAGACCGCTTACAAATAGTAA